CGAGTGAGAGGATCGGGGCTTTTCATTATTGCTCTGATACCATTAATTTTTGATAGGGGTTTCAATAAAACAAAAATACAATTTTAATAACAAAATCTTCAAATTCTTGGGTTTAATAGGTGGAAAGAGTTAATGGTGAAGTAACATTAAATTTTTAATTCCAAAGAGGAAGCAATTTGTCGAATTTATATAAGGTTAAACTTTTAGGGACTAAAATGAAATTTATTTTATATTAGCATGTCTTGTTTTTAATTTTTGATTTTGGGGGTATTTTAGGTAGTTTATGTTGGTAAGGGTATTTTGAAAAGGCTATTGTTTAATTTAGGGTATTTTCAATAATTTCTCCTCCTGATTCTCTTAAAACCCCATAATATGAACATAGAAAGCAACAAAATCAAGTGCAAACAACCAGTAAAGAAACACAATACAATAGGGTCTAGCAGAACACTGTTGTCCCTAATTAAAATATGTTTCCTCAAATTAAAACATGATGAGCAAATTGTGAATTCAAACTAGCTGTACAAGTCAAAATCTAGAGGCTAGTAAAAATTTCAGAATTATTAAGTCAGGAATTAAAACAATGTCGTGGAAGACATGAACTGGAAATTGTTAACACAAATATATACTGGAGTAAACCGAGGAAGTGGATGTGGAAATTGGGTCCTAACTACTTTATAATTCAAAAGTAGGAAGTGGCTGTAGGATTGAATCAATTGTTAAGTTCTACAGCAATCATTCCCACATACACACGAGAGAGAGGAGTCAGTAGGCTGATTTCGTTATACATAAGGCAGTGTGTGTGAATTTGTGTATGATCACGAATATCAGACTAGGTTTTTCTCAGTTTCCCAATTCTATGGTGTAAATCCACTGGAAAACACTCAATGCCCTGGCTCAATGACCGGGGCATAAAGCAAGGCTCAAATCCATATATGTGCGTGGGTAGATTTTATTTTGTGGGGGAGAAGACCATTGCTTGGGTTTTTAATTAATTGGGTTTCAACAAATTTTTTTTGTTTAAATG